GCTGAATGTATTTATTAAAAAAAATGTCTCGATCGCCTTTGGTGTAAATTGACGATCATCTCCCAAAAGTTTTCAATGAGATTATTTTTCGTTGAATTAGCACTTTGATGTTAATAATAATGACTTATACATTTAGCAATACGTCCTTAATCTTGATTTGAAGCTTTCGTGACTGCAGGAATCCATACTCTTTGGTTCTTTCGGTAAAGTCACTTAGTTAGAATTAAATAAAAATTCAGAATAAACGTTTTTTGGGTTAGATCGCGTTATTTATAAATGTGTCGTAACCCTCCACCACCCGCCACGGCCAATCAGCAAAAAAGTGTCACGTTGACAAAAGACAAATAGTTCACTACTTTAGCCCACCGGTGTGTTGAAGAGTGAAACATTGTAAATGTTGTGGTCGGGTGGTGGAGGGTTACGACACATTTATAAATAACGCGATCTAACCCAAAACCGTTTAATATGAATAATATTGGCCGCGAAAGCCTTAAGTGTAAAACTAAAATTAAACAACAAAACAATTACGTAAAAATCCACGTGGCCTACCCATCGTCACACGCAGCGTAACAGAGTCGTCAGGCGTTCGGCATAGATCACCACAACGTTCTGTACAACAGTAACATCCACGCGCCAGCCGGCAGGTGGCGTGAGACGCACGCTTTCTGACTTCGTGGATTGCTGCCGCCCATAATCACAAGATACCTGTACCGTACCCGATACCCGGCTACCCGTACCCGTTTGCGACCCTGGTGCGGCCGAGTACGGGTAGGCCGTGAGTCACCGGTGAGTAATCGTTTGTCACTCATTTCCCAACGTCTTGTCTCTTCTCACAATTCAAGTTCCTAGAATCAACCCACCCGCGCCTGCAATATGGCTTCATCCCAGAGGTCGCAATCGGGTACCCGTATCCGTACTCTACCCGATACCCGGCCGGGTACGGGTAGCCGGGTATCGGGTAGGGTACGGGTACCTGATTGCGACCCTGGTGCAGCCGGGTACGGGTAAGGAATCAAAACACGTTTATGACCTCTGGTCACGGTCGTGGGCACGGGGAGGCGCTCACTCACCGAGTTACAGCCCCTGATCACGCTGTGACATTTCGCAGTCATGTGGCGGTGGGTGGGGGGGACATGACGAGCGTATTGGAGAACTCTTTAAGAGACGCTTCGCGTCCTCTCACGCGGCCCCTAACAGATGGACGGAGCGTTTCACGCGTCGTTCCTTGAGTTGGAAAGTGTCAACATAAACCCGTGGGGGAGCATCTTGAGCTCGTAACTTCAGGAGGCGCGTAATGGTGTAATGTTTTGCAGAGATGAGTAGGCCGGTTGGAATAATGTGTAGAGCTTGCCTTTTACGAGGACGAAGCCAGTCGTGAGATGCGTGATTAATGGCGAGGAATAAAAACCGTACATATTCGTGGATTCAGTTGTGCTCTTTTAATACGCGTTCGCCTTAATAAAAGACGTTACGTTTCAAGCCTCACAACGAGATGACATCGCCCATAATGACGTCGTGGGAAGGACGGGGGTTGCTATGTTTTATTTTAGGACAGTTTTTTGTGTGAATCATTTGAGTCTCCATCTCCGCGTAAATATATGTATGTTTGTTGAACTTCTTTCGCACCGTACGCAGACAACCGTCGTGATCGGAGGTGCGGGAACACTTTGATATTTTTTTTTATAATAAACGTTTTTGGGTTTAGATTGCGTTATTTATAAATGTATCGTCACCCTCCACCACCCGACACGGCCAATCAGCAAAAAAAGTGTCACGTTGACAAAAGACAAATAGTTCACTACTTTAGCCCACCGGTGTGTTGAAGAGTGAAACCACAACATTTACAATTTTTGAGTGCTGTGACGTTTCGCTGGTAATTGTATCCAGCATCATCGAGCAATTCGCCAGAATGGTGAGGCTCTGCTGTGTCTCCCGTTCTTAAATAGAGCAGCAGCAGGGTGACGTCATCATTTAACTCATCAGGTGCAACGATTTGAGGCAGAGAGGGGGGTATTGTAATTATATACTAGATTGGTAATCAGGCAATTGTTACGATGTGAGTTGTAGATTAGTAATCAGTTGTAATGTGCGTTATTGTTATAAATAACGCGATCTAACCCACAAACTTTATTATGAATAATATTAGTCGCGAAAGCCTACGTGTTAAACTTTGATATCTTTGCTGGTTTTCTAGAGGCAATGCTCCTAATGGGAACACAGCGTTATACAAGTGTAGTACTAAAGTTGTGTTCATATTGGATCAACTTTCCTAGAGTCACCCCCCTCCCCTTATCCAGGCCCCCCAATAAAAGGGACAGAATGATTGCATTGCTGCTTTAACCTTACTTTCAGCACATGAAACATCATCTGATCTCGCCACTCCACACGGGCGAATGCTGTCGTCATACTTTAAGATAAGCAGACCAGTTGGCATAACGTGTACGGCTTGCATTTCACAAGGGCGAATCCGTCCTGTGCTTGATAATTAAAGTACAAAATACATATTGCCCAGTTTCGTTTTCAGATCCCGTGCTGAGCAGCGACTGATTAGTCAGTGGCAACTTAATAGCAGCTGTTCAATGGGAAAACAAAACTATCACCCGCCATGGCAATGTGGAATTTCACCGTTCGTACGATGTAACCACCACGTTCGGTACGGACGTATATCCCAGATGCAAGAGCCTCCTGAAGCAGAGTAACCAGACTCAGGATTTTCAGTGAAAGTAATTCGCATTCATAATTATCTGTGCATCCATTTCGCAAAAAGGCCTCTTCCCATGTTGATCACGGGCCATGGTTTATCCACTGCTGGATAAACACCTCGCTAACGGCACTTGCCCCAACAGTCTGTGAAGGCTATGCGGGGGGGGGGGGGGGGATCTTCGTCTTGTATGTTGAACTTCTTTCGCACCCTACGTAGCCAACCGTGCCAATGGAAGGTGCGGGGGAAGGATGACGAACTAAACACTTAAAAGAAGTTCTAAAGAAATTAGTTCGTCGATATAGACGATTTAAAAGTACACAGCTCCAGTGGCGTCCTAACACTGGAAGGAAAAGAGCGTTCCAGATGGCAGCGGAAGCGCATCTGAAAGCGCAGCGATGCGGCGACCGTCTTCGTTCGATGTCTAGCGTCGATTGTCCTCTACGATGGATGTCTGCCCTCCAGCCTTTAGCTGCCATTCCGTCAGCAGTCTCGACCGCTGCTCATCAACTTGTCACCGTCATGACGTGTCCTGCACCCAAACCAAACTTACTTTCCTTAGCTGTCAATATGACGAATGGACATCAATCAGAGGTATAATGAGCCGCTAAGAAGTGTCTGTCCTTCGATAATGTTAACTAAACACATTCCTGCGGAGGGAGCTGGTAGGAACATTGGGTTGCTCGGTCAATGGCCAGTGTCAACGGTGGCGTGGTGTATTCCGCAAATATGGCCGACTGTGAGGGCGGGTACAAGCCCGCGTGAGTAGGTTAAACGTTGAGTTTTATAAGGGCACCATGGGGTGACCAGCCCCTCCCCACCCAGCCCCACTCCTCCCACCCCCCCACCCAGCCCCACCCTCCCCACCCAGCCCCTCCCCACCCAGCCCCTCCCCACCCTCCCCACCCAGCCGCTCCCTGGACGACGGACACAATAATCCCCTGTGGGCTGGTGTAACCAGGAGTTTCCTACCAGTATAATAATTGTTCTCAGTAATGTAGTACTACAGAGTACTGTTTACACACACACATATAAGGGCATTGGTCAGAGCCAACCATAATAATCAGTGTCGAGCACCGGGGGGCATGGCACAAATGCATTCGCACATGCATGATTAATGCATCTATTTTAATTAAAGTTTGTGTATTTCACTTTGGTTAAACTGTACATGCCGGGGTGAGCGTTGGCTCGGTGATTACCGCAATGCACTACGGACCCGGCCACTTGAGTTCGATTCCCAGCCACTTGTTAAGGTCAGCGGCAAGTGATGTCTGTCTGATCCCGAGGCCTCCTGGGGGCCGTCCATAAATGACGTCACGCGATTTTGGGCGATTTTTGACCCCCCCCCCCCTTCGTCAAACAGCGTCACAAAAAGTCATTGTAGTGCGTATTTAATGTGGCGCTGCACTCTGATGTTGTAGGAGATTTTCTTTAAAAAGTGTATTTAATTAAGTAGAACGTGTTGTCTATATTTATTTAAAGTTGCGAATTTTGATGTGACGTCACATTTCTCAACCACCCCCCGACCCCTCGTCACACATCGTCACAAATGTCTGACCCCCACCCCACCTCCAGGTGCGTGACGTCATTTATGGACGGCCCCCTGGGTGGGTTCAGCCTCAAATGAGTTTACCTGGTGAGAAGGTGTGTGCTGGCCTTAATAGGTGCTCGCTAATGTGGGGAATAGTCCTGCAAATATGACCACCCCACCCAAAGGCGCTGCCGTGGTGGCCCGGACACGGAGCTGGTTATCCCAGGGTGTCGATGTCATTGTCCGTCAGCGGGGAGCGGTGGCGCAGTGGTTAGCGCGCACTGCGCTGAGAACATCTGTGACAAATATCTGAACCGGTCCCGGGGAGGCCCCTCCCTCCCCTAGGTCGATTCAGCCTTAAATGAGCACCTGATGCGGTGTGTAAATTCAGAACCCGGGGGGGGAGACAAAGGCGACACGGGGGATCTTTGCGACTATTTGTCAAGTGTGGCAGCGCTGTGCACGAGAGAGACCAACATGCGAGCGATGATCTGAACCGGTCTCCCCCTTTGTCGACTCAGCCTTCAAATGGGCTCCCTTTGGTGCGGTGTGTTACACGCATCGCCACTGGGGAGACGAAGGCGGTCGGGCGTGGTGGCGCTGTCCAACCGAGCCCTCTCTCTCGCGGTGCCGTGCCGTCCTGCATCGGTTGCTCCTCGCTTAACAGCACTTGCCCCCGCAGTCGTGCGAGGGCTACGCGGGGGATCTTTGTCTTTGTGTGAGAGGGTGCGCGCGCGTGACGCATCTCTGATGCAATTGCGGCTCCGCCTTCTCGCCACTGCCTCTCTCAGGAAGGGAGCCGTCGCTTGCTGCACGGACCCGAGTCACAACTCTCCATTCTCTCTCCCTGCTGCAGCACAGACAGAGCCACAACTCTCACACTCTCTCTCCCTGCTGCAGCACAGACAGAGCCACACTCTCACACACTCTCCACTCACACACTCTCCACTCACAACTCACACACTCTCCACTCACAACTCACACACTCTCCACTCACAACTCACACACTCTCCACTCACAACTCTCATACTCACTCCCTGCCTGCTGAAGCACAGAGCCACAACTTCCACACTCACTCCCTGCCTGCTGCTGCTGCCGCTGCATCACCCCCTGCCTCGCCACCACGCGACCCAGGTGAGCGAGCTCGCTTCATGTCGTAGGACACGTGTCTGTGTGAAAACGAGCTTTATAGCTCGTCGCATTCCTTCCGTATACGCGCACATTCTGACTCTGTTCGATTTCAACTTACATTCCTCATCCTCACCCGGTTCGCATCCTCAACACCATTACGGTCTTGTCGTGCCATCATCATCATCACCGTTCAGCCACGCTGAATCTACTGCTGGATGAAGGGAGGCTTCGTCTCTCTTCCCCCCAAGCAGCGGTCACACCACTCACGACCATGCGAGGTGAACGAGCCTGCAAGCCCAGCAACCTGGCTGGGTTGCATCAACTCCCAGCACAACTTGTGCCGGCGAGAGTTGCATCAACCAGCGAGCGCTTGTAGATGTCAGTTTCGCTTTGGCCAGCTCTGAGTATAATGATCGTCTGCGCAGCGCGTGAGAGATCACGGCACTTTGCGATTGATTGTTTGCTAGATGTTTGGGGAATAAGCAGGGCTTCCCAACCACCCCAACTAATGATTAAACGATTCGTTACAACCGTTGGGAGACGCCCTTGTAGGAAGCGGGGTCTCCATGCAGCATGTGGGTCGGTCGTGGCTGATGATGACTGGGAGTGCACGCGTGATTATAAAGGTGTGTGGTACGTGTCGCTGTTACAGAAAAGCGAACGTGTAAGTACGCTTGAGTTTAGACAACACGTGTGTGTGTTGTGGTGGGTGTAAAAGAGTCCTCGTGTCAAATCCACCGCTGGATGATGGCCCCTCTCCACGTGTGTGGCTGGAGCCAGGCCACACACACACACACACGGGCCACTGAGAGCACTTTGCCCCAACAGTCTTATGAAGGCCACACGAGGCTGGGGGACCTTTGTCTTTTGTAGGCCACGCACCGCGCTCAGAAACCCCGGGGCCATCCCCAGTTCACAAGTGGCGATTATTTGAACCGGTCCTCCACTAGGTCGACTCGGACTTAAAAATCGGTAGAGTACTTGGTGTGGTATTGTTAACATCGCGGCTAGGGAGACAAAGGCGGTCGGGCGGGCGTGGTTGCAGTACCGGCCTCGCAAACACCACTTGCCCCAGCAGCGTGTTGAAGGCTACGCGGGTGACCTTTGTCTTTGTGGATGTGAGCTCATACGAGTTGTGTCCGTGGGGTGTCATTTGACCATACTTCACCACGCCGGTCATTCGTGTGTCGTGGTGAAGGCGGACTCCGACATGCAGCGCAGTATATAGAGGTCGTGATGATGATCACAACATTATAGCTAATCGGATTCCTCCAGTATGAATACAGATTCTGATTCAAAGCCTGCGGGGGGGAGGCGTTTGGTACTGATCTGGTCACGGAATCTCCCTCCGTTATGAAACGATAATGAGGCGTTTGTGCATCGGCTATAATCGACTGTGAGAAGTTTTAGATTCCTAAAGCTTAGCTGCAAAGATGGTGTGTGCATGAATACCCGAACTGTACGCACTTTGCATCGGGTAGGGCTATTAGAACACGTGTTGGAGATTAATGTTGTCACCTGCTTAGCGTTTTACATATCATCGGTTATTGCAATCTAAATCTAAATGTTGTGGATTTGCTCTCCAACACACCGGTGTGCTGTACTAGTGACAAATTGGCCTCGTTCTGTTTTACGTGACAACCCTTACTAGTTGGCTGTGTCGGGTGGTGGCGGGTTGAACGACACATTTTTACGCGATCTAACCCCCCCCCAAAAAATAAACCTGTATTATGGGCAATCTACGTGGTGTATCTCCTGCTAGATGAATGCCTACCTAACAATACTATCATCACGATATATCATCATCAGTCGTGGGATATCGAGTATGTGATTAAGGCCGTTCACATCTTAATACGATTCATTTTTAGCCACGGCCTATCCACTGCTGAATGAAGACTTTACCCCAATCGCCATCGTCGTTATCACGATTCTAATCGCCACCGTGAGCCGTGGTCTCTATCCACTGCTGGACGAAGGCACCCTTCGCCCACGCGGTCCTTCATCGTTCACGGCCAATGCGATTCCACCAGAAAAATAAGTATAACCCGTAAAAACAAAGTTTTTCACTCTAAATCCTTTATATGCGTGGCGGCTAGAGTCCTCTCGTCCTCTGGCTTGAGATGGCTGCCACCTATGGGTTAGATGATTGTCTGCCAGTATTAAACAATTGGTAATTAAATATTTAATTTGTTTTCCCTAAACAGTGTAAAATTTTGGAAAAAAATTTTCACGAACATTAATTGTCTCGCACAACGAGTCTGTGTGCAAAATGTCAGCTCGATTGGATCACGGGAAGTGGGTTAAAAAACGACCGAAAGGTTTGCACGGTCGTAAGCAAGCAAGCACGCAAGCAAGCGAACTTAATATAAAGGATTTAAAAACCCAAATCCATCATCCCGCGAAAGTCACACGGAGCCGATCATCATCTCGTCGTCGTTGCATCGCCGCGGGCGTGTGTCCTCTCCCTTGGCTCTCATTCCATCACCACTCGTTGCTGTTAGTGCCGTAAACCAAACCAAGTTACGTGTGTGGTTTTGTATGTTGACCATGTAAGGCCCACTGAGCTGTTTAGCTCTTTTTCAGCAGCTACGTGGGCTATCAAAGAATGGTAGCTCAACGAATTTGCCTGTATCGCCACGTGGACGTTTATAGCAGCCAAACACTCTAAACGTGTGGTGACGGTGATTCTAAACGTGGATAGGGAAAAAAAACCGGAGGACCCGGAGAAAAATCCACGGGGAGAGAGAGAGAGACGCAAACTCCCAAGTATACAGCAGACATCATCATCATTAGATCTCCTTTTCCAGTACCAAAATATAATAATAGGGGTTTTCCGCTTTTTTCTGGCAACAAAACCGAAACCTTTTTACAAGCAATCATGTTTACTTTAACCACAATACTTGTGGTCTAATGATGTAGATGCTTACCCCAAGCCCTCATTACTCTGATAGTGGCATTGTCTTTGAGCTGTACGCCTTTTGGCGTCCTCTGGTCTAGCACCAATTGAGACGAGGCTCAAAAGAAAGCCGTCTCTGGTGTGGACCAATCAGTTTCAAAGACAATGCATATACAGTAAAACCTTGGATTGCGAGCATAATTCGTTCCGGGAACGTGTTTGTAATCCAAAGCACTTGTATATCAAAGCACTCGTACATCAGTTGTGATCACGTGACGCTCGGCAGACAAAGCGTATACGTACTACTCGTATTGCAAGACCTCGCTCGTTTATCAAATTAATATTTATTTTAAAAATTTGCTCGTCTTGCAAAATAGTCACAGACCAAGTTACTCGCAATCCAAGGTTTTACTGTATTATCAGTGTGTTTTATGTTTGCATTTTGACCACAAGTATTGTGGTTAATGCAGACTTGATTCCTCGTAAAAGGGTTTCAGTTTTGTTGCCAGAAAAAAGGGGGAAAAATTATTATATACAGCAGACATCGACTACTTGCGTACCAGGCGAGGGAGTTAACATCTCGCCACCGTGGCGCCATGAACACCTTCTTATAGCCACTCTGTGTTCGGTCCAAGCCCCACTTACAGTCGAGTAAATTTTAAGTTTTACGAACGTGGCGACTTCCTGGCACCAATCTGCCACTCGAAGCGCCATCGACAACAGCCAATGGGCGTCTCTCTAATTTGCGTTTGTTCTCAGATCCGTAGACGGTACAATGTGTATGCAGTATTATCAGTATGATTTCCTAGATTTGTTTAACAAAAACAAAATATCTCATGTGTGTAAGGGCCAGCTAGTATTATTGGTTGTAAAACGACAACCGGTAAAACCGGTAACCGTTTTCAGAATCGCTGAACCGTTTCTAGTGGAATGTCAGTGATGGACGCACAGGTTGGGGGCCGTCCATAAATGACGTCACGCACCTAGGGGGGGGGGGGTCAGACATTTGTGACGATGTGTGACGAGGGAGGTTTGAGAAATGTGACGTCACATCAAAATGCGCAAATTTAAATATATATAGACAACACGTTCTACTTAATTAAATAGACTTTTTAAAGAAAATCTTCTCCTACAACATCAGAGTGCAGCGCCACATTAAATACGCACTACAATGACAATAGTTTAAAGCGATTTTAAGCATGTTTTATTTGGGGGGGGGCAGAGCTTTGTGACGTCATATTTGAGGGGAGGGGGTCTGACTTTTTGTGACGCCGTGTGACGAGGGGGGGGGTCAAAAATCGTCCAAAATCGCGTGACGTCATTTATGGACGGCCCCTTGGCACGTGTGGAACGTACAAACAGACCGAACGGCGACCTAAGTCACCGCGTGGTAACAAGTTGCCCCTGCTTCTCACCTTAAAGGGGCAATTATTCACCTACCAACTAAGAGGGAGATCTCGAGTGGTCATTTGGTCTACTCTTCCGCTCCGACCGGACGTGACTGGATGGGATTGATGTACCCCATGACACTTGGCCCCACCACACGTGGATTTAAGGAACTTGCCACTCCCCCCCCCCCGTTAAATTGCCGCGCCTGGAGATTGAATCGAACCTGCGAATACTGGATCAGAAGCTCTGGCCAGTGTGCCTCAGAGGTCGCATACGGGTTTTGATTCCTTACCCGTACCCGTACCCAGCCGCACCAGGGTCGCAAACGGGTACCCATACCCGTATCCGGCCGTACCCATACCCGTATCCGGCCGTACCCGTACCCTACCCGTACCCGGCCGGGTACGGGTAGGGTACGGGTATCGGGTACCCAATTGCGACCTCTGGGATGAAGCCATGTTGCAGGCGCAGGTGGGTTGATTCTATGAACTTGAATTGTGAGAAGATACAAGAGGTTGGGAAATGAGTGACAAACGGTTACTCACCAGTGACTCACGGCCTACCCGTACCCGTACCCGGCCGCACCAGGGTCGCAAACGGGTAGCCGGGTATCGGGTAGGGTACGGGTATCGAGTACCCGGATGCGACCTCTGGTGTGCCTGCTAACCGTCACACCACCGTGGTTAGCTCTTGCTCGGGACATTTGTAACTGGTTTGTAACCGGAGTGTTTGGTGTTTGTCCATTCGTTAATCGCTATTGCAAAACAACGATTTAGCCCAAGGTAGAGTATGTATTACATTAGACGCAGTGGTGACTCGTTGAGTGATGTTCTGTAAGGACTAGCAAACTAAAACTTGTTCAAGTTCGTTTACCCTTAGAAGTGGTGGAACAATCCGCATTGCAAAACGTTCAAATTTGGGCTCCCAAAGGTTTTGTCCATAGCTGGGTTGGTTTCACTTATTGGGCAGGGCCCGTCTACAGTTCCACGTTGCTGGAAGTCACGTACTATAAACACTTCACGAAAATGTCAGATCCCACAATTATCAGTGAACCGAGTAAGTCGCCATACCGACGTTTGTGACCCTGAAGCCAATGGGAAGCAGATGAAGCCGCCGACAGATTACACTGCCATGGAACGTGCAGGTCCAACGTCAGGCCAACGTTGGCATCCCAACGGTTACGACGTCACATTTCTCAAACCCCCCCTCCTCGTCACACATCGTCACAAATGTCTGACCCCCCCCACCCCCCAGGTGTGTGACGTCATTTACGGACGGCCCCTTAGGTTTCCGTGTACCCGTGCTGTGGTTCCGCAAGCGCAGAGTTGGGCATGCGGATGCTCTGTGCTTACTGCCCCGTGTGTGTGTGTATGGACTCTATACCGTACACGTCTGACGGTTGTCCCGTTTTCTCCAATGGATGAATGATTAATGTTGTGCAACCCCCTCCACTACCACCACCACCACTCTCCAGAGGTCGCAAACGTGTTTTGATTCCTTACCCGTACCCGGCCGCACCAGGGTCGCAAACGGGTACCCGTACCCGGCCGTATCCGTACCCTACCTGTACCCGGCCGTACCCCGTACCCTACCTGTACCCGGCCGGGTACGGGTAGGGTACGGGTATCGGGTACCTGATTGCGACCTCTGGGATGAAGCCATGTTGCAGGCGCGGGTGGGTTGATTCTAGGAACTTGAATTGTGAGAAGAGACAAGACGTTGGGAAATGAGTGACAAACGGTTACTCACCAGTGACTCGGCCTACCCGTACCCGGCCGCACAAGGGTCGCAAACGGGTACCTGTATCCGGGTATCGGGTAGGGTACGGGTATCGGGTACCCGGTTGCGACCTCTGCCACTCTCTCTCTCCCTCTTCACCTTGTCCAGACACGTGACAGCAGTAGTGCCGGCACTCTGGCATTCGCTCAATATCCCTTTGATTTTTGTTCGACTTGCAGATGGCAGTGAGGCGGTGACTGTTAGTTCCCTCCATTAAATATTTCGAGCCCACTCTCCCCATCTCAGGTTTCACCTTCGGAAGAGGAGAAACAAAAACTGGCTTTTTTTAGCGAGGGAGGGAATATTTTGCGCGCAGATGTTTTGGCGCGCTGCGCGTGCTTCTTAACAGCTGTGCCGCTCGAGTGATCAGCGGGACGATGGCTATGCACGTACGTACGCTGAATTTCTTTCACACCGTACGTAGCCAACCGTGGTAATCGGAGGCGCGGATACACGTCTTGTCAATTAACCAAATAGTCGCATTGTGATGATCACGATGGTGGTGGGTGGTGGGTGGCGAGGGGCTTAGGAGGCATGTTATTAAACATTACATCACCTTGCAGGGTGCAGTTATTCAACAACGCAATGCACTCAGTTACATTTGCACACTGTACCTGCGTGCCGTGCATGGGGAGGGCGAGACAGGGTTTGAAGTTTTAAAGAGTGACGTCTGTTGGCACAGATTTCAAACCTGCTTCCGCAGACACTTTGAGATGTTGCTTTGGCATTCTATATAGTGTACACTTACAAAACAAAAGATCTATTCACCTTTCCAAAAGCATTCTATCGAGCGACAGCAGCCGTAAAGCGTGTTTTTAAAGCGGAATTCGACAAAGAATGCACAGTAGCAATATGCCTAAAGAAATGAAGCTTTCAGTCGGTGAATGTGACGTGCGGATCAGCGGCGTGGTCGTTGATGGGGACGGTGGAACAGAAGCTGAAAATTGTGCACAGGAGCGCGGAGAGGTACCTGCTGGGGATGTAAACAAGAGTACACACGCATCAGGGGGAACACGCGTGACATTTGTATTGAGACGCCGTTGATCACTTTTCAGGAAAGCTTGGGCAGGACGTGCGTTGCTTGAAGCGATGGTAACTGATGGTCGAGACTGACGACGAATGGCAGCCAACGGAGAGGGGGGTGAACACTGTGGAGATGGAGCGATTGGATCGGCACGAGATGGATTGTAGCTGTGTAGGACTGTGAGGGTGGGTGTCGGGGGAGGCCTTTATCATGGCTGATGATGATGACGAAGACATCACATTCCTCGGCAAGAGGCAAACTGACTTCCTCTCTGCCACATAGCTTCCTCAATCCCCTCCACGTTGCACCAGTACAAACAACCGCAGTATCCTAGACCACAAAACCCAACCCTCCTTCATTGTAATCCGCTTGTCACACCCACCAACCCCCCACTAAAGCCATCTCTTACTCCACATCCTCCACCCCTCCCATCTCACTCACCGCCACATCAGGGATGTCCGTGAAATATCGGGCTAATGTAGAGCTGGCGTGGCTCAGCACATCAGTTGTATTAACAAATCGCCCGTTCATTCTATGAAGGCCAAATGTAATCCACTTACACCTTCCACCGGAACGAACTTCCCTTGCACGTCAAACGATCGACGCCTCGCTGTTAATCTTTTGTTCATCCCTAAAAACTCGCTTGCTTACCCACAACTCCCACTCCATTCCCCACCATCATAATCACCATCATAATCACCATCATCACCATCATCCCCTCTTCCCAACTTCCCTACCCACCCATCGCGCTCGCTCATCGTCAACAACTCACTCTCACTTTCATCGTCGTTTTTTCCCCCCCCACGCATCATCTTCGCGCACTGCCACCGTTCTCATCCACTCACCTCGTCGCATCCCGCCTAAGTCTCTGTTCAGTGCTTTGACCAAGGCGCCGTATGAATTAAAATCAGATGAGGTGTAATCCACCCCCTTCTCCTCCTCCCCCCCTGTCCCTTTCTTCCCCCCCCCCAGTATGCTCTTAGTTATCTCTCCCCTTACCCTTTTCCCCTACCCACAAGCGAACGTTCACGTTCCCCACTCGTGCTTTCCATCCCGAGGATGGGGCAGTGAGCGCTAGGGCCCTGTCGCGCCACGCTTGGGGGCTGTTTGCGGAATTTCTGTTCCGCCGCCACGGCGATCGTCGCTTTGCGTCGGGGCTCGGCTCGCGTCGAGTTTGCGAATAACGAACGAGGCGAGGGCAAAAGCGACGGGCGCGAGCGACGCCGCGCCAAGCGGCACGGCGCGGCGCGTCGTGCCATCGGCAGTCACGAGCCCAGCCGCATGGCGCTTCTGGGGAGGCGGTTTTCGCAGGAGGTGGTGCGGTCAACTTTCATTGTGGTGGCGCTTCTCAACGTGCCTCTTTGAGACTTGAATGCGCGCGTCAAAACGCGACATCGCACGACATCGACGGTGGTGGTGGTGATGAGGATATTGGCTGGGTTTCCAATTAGGAAGTCAGGAAAAATACGATGGGGTAATTGGAATTTAATGTTATTCCTACAAGTGATTCGTATGTCGAACATTCTTCCAGCACTGAGAGAACGCTGCCGCTCACGCGTTTGGTGGCAAGAACCTCCTTGAGCTGCAAGACTCACGGTTCAGGAGAGTCCTGCCAATTTAGCGCAGCAGGGGCGACATTGCTGCTGCTGCTGCTACCGCCCCCCCGTGTAATCCCAGTTGAGTAATTGGCAGGGGTATTTTCAGCAGTGGGGTGATCTGGCAATACTCAATAAACACTGTGTGTACGTTAGCTATGGGAGGAAACTATAGAACCCCGGAAGAAACCCATACCGGACAGTGGGAAAATATACAAAGCTCACAAACAGAAACGCACCCGAGTCGGGAATCAAACTCGGGCCCTTCTTGCCGGGTGGCACAAGTGTTGCCACTGAGCCCATGTGCACGATGGCCGTGCCGCGCATCACTCTGTGCCCGTGTGTGTTTCTGTTGTTTGCGTTTGGCCCTCTCGGCCTTTCCCATCGATTATCCGCTGGGCCTGAAATGCAGCACCTCTGCCTCCCAGTCCCAGGGAACCTCTCCTCTCCAGCAGCTGGGCCGAATCCCGCCTACGCCATGAGCGGATACAGCGTGACCCTGGAAGGACAGCCGCCCTGGGGCTTCCGTCTCCAGGGAGGCAAGGACTTCAATATGCCGCTCACCGTCTCACGGGTGAGTACGCTGTGTGTGTGTGTGTACGTGTGAGCAGCAGCGGTGTAGCGGTTAGCGTGCCGCGCTACGAACCCGGCGATCCGAGTTAGATTCTGGCTCACGGCCGACACCAGTGAGGATTTTCTGAACTGGTCCTGGGCCTCCCCTAAGTCGACTGAGCCTCAAATGAGTACCTGGTGTGGTGTGTAAACATCGCCACTGGGGAGACAAAGGCGGCCGGGCGTGGTGTTGATCACCCACCCCCTCGTGTACCGTGCCGGCCTTCATAGGTGCTCGCAACAGAACCTGCCCGAACAGTCTGTAAAAGGCTATCGGGGGGATCTTTGTCTTTATTTGTCCAGATGTGATGTTTGTGTGTGTGTGTGATGTTTGTGTGTGTGTGTGTGTGATGTTTGTGTGTATGTGTGAGTTGAGCGACACAACAACAGCGAGCAGAGCACTGGGTGGATCAAAGAAAGAAAATTGGCACAGTGGGGAGCAGATGTGGTGCATATGCCAGTCATGCCAGTCAGTCAACCCATAACACTGGGGTCTGTCCCGTGACTTCCTGCCAGCAAGTCCACCTAGCCTGGCACATGGCGATGTCACCGCCTCTTTGTTGCAAAGAGCAGCTGTTGCTGTTCTTGTGTGAGTGTGCACGTGATCTTTGTGACCTGGCAAATGATTCGCGAGCATAATGCACGTCCGTGGCAACTGGAATCTGAAACTGGCCTGAACTTCCCCCAAGATGAAATCGGTCTAGAATTGAGCGGATGGGACCCGTTGGCAAACATGGTCAACGGGGGGAGACAAGAAGGCAGTTGAGATCGGTTTCGAGGCATGCCACCTCCCTCGTTGGTATGTTGTAAATAACTCGTCGCTTGCAAACAGACCTTTGCCTCGCCCGGCCCATGTCCGTGGCTTTAAAGTCCACGTGCATAAGCCGGGGTGCGTAACGATAACGTCCTAAGCTCACGATGTCTGCGTGGAATTAGGAATGCGTCAGAATCGATGGTCGGTGCCCTGCCGTTTACGTTGCACGTAATGGGTTCAAGCGATCGCTCCGGTGATTGGTGACCGCCACATCGACCCCAATGTTAAAAACCGAACCGATTCTTGAATCAAATCGCGGTCCCGAACCACGGCTATTTCATCGCGTCGCTCGGCATTCGCATTGTCTGCATGCATCGTATGTCAGCGTGCATTTGTCACGATTCTGTGGGGTGTTTTTGTACAAGCTAGGCAACGAGTCCGCAACCAAAACAACAAGAAGAGGCATTTTTTTCGAATAAAAACTCAACATTTAAAGCAAGCTGCAGTGCACTGCGGTGAATACGATGGGTCCTGAATAAGCGACAGTCCTCGAAGAGCCCGCAGGTTACTGACCCCTGAGCCAGGCAAACTGACTTGTCGTATTTGTAAAAGCATTGTGTGCATTCATGACGGCGCATGAACACGCAAAGAAGACAAAGTGCTCGCCCGTGATAGCCTTCAGCAGACTGTTCGGGCAATCGCTGTTAGCGAGCGCCTGTTAATGTGGGCAAAGCTCATGTTTACAGAGCGCATCAGGTGCCCATGTACGGCTGATATCACCGAAGAGAGGCCGCGCACCGATTCCGGATGCGACTCTCCGCTGTTGCTGGGAATTGAACTCGGGTTGGCAGTTTCGTAGCGCGAGGCCCGCCGGTTCCCGCCAATGCATACACGTGCACGCTGTGCGAGTGCTGTGTGTGTCTGACCATAGACGTGCACCTACTACGTGCTTGCCAGTATGTGTGTGCGTGCGTGCGCCAGTATGTGTGTGTGTGTGTGTTGATGTGTGGGGAGCGGTAGTGCAGCGGTTAGCGCGCTGCACTACGAACCCGGCGACCCGGGTTCGATTCCCGCTTACGGCCAACGCCGGTGACGATTATCTGAACCGCTTCTGGGCCTCCCCTAGGTCAACTCGGCCTCAATGAGTACCTGGTGCAGTGTGTAAACATCGCAACTGGGAAGACAAAGGCGGCCGGGCGGGGTGTTGGTCAGCCACCCCCTCGTGTGCCGTGCCGGCCTTCATAGGTGCTCGCTAACAGCACTTGCCCCAACAGTCTGTTACAAGCTATACGGGGATCTTTGTCTTTGTGTGCGTGTGTCAGTATGTGTGTGCGTGTGCTCGTCAGCCATTGTGTCTGCGTACAGTTGCGTGAGTGAGTTCTTGTCGTCGTTATATGTGCATGCGTGTAAGCGAGTTCACGTCAGTTTGTGCTTGTGTATGTACGTTGAACATCTTCGCCACCGTACGTAGCCAACCGTGCTAATCGGAGCTCTGCGTGCATATCAAGTGCGTGCGAGTGGGCACGTCGGTGTGTCCTTGCCAGCGTGTACGTGGTAGTGCGTGCGTGTGTGTGCGCGCATGCGTGTGCTTTGTCAGTGCGCTAGTGCGTGCTTACCAGTGTCCGAACGCACTTGTCCAAGTGCGTGTGTCGGCGTGTGTGTGTGTGCGTGCGCGTGAGCGCCGTCGTTTTTTTATTTTTTGGCACCTCGGGATAACTGGCATGGCCCAACGTTCAGCGGGTGAGATATTGCGACCCGGCACGGTGCTGGGTTTTCACAGCTGCTCGAATTCCGTCCGCGCGCAGCGGCGAGCAAAGATAGAACGGCGCGTCACTCGCCGATTTCCTGCACCCTCAACGGGGTTACAGGCACGCACGCACACGGGCGCGCGCGGTAGGAGGATGACCTCTTTAACTCCTGCCGTCAAAGTCACCAGAGGTAGCGTGCGCGTGGGACGGTTGTGTCGACGTTAATTGCGCAGGGCCCAGGATTGGCAACCTGCCGCTTCGGAGACGTTTGCGGCACTCTTAAGGACTGCATTTTGGCTTTTGAAATACCGAATGTTTTTTTAGGCGAATTCAAAAGAGCTGCTCTTCTTGTTAATTTGATTTCTGACCCCTGACCATGGGAGTCCAGTTTTACCAGAGAAGTCCAGTTTTACCATGGGAGTATAGTTTTACCATGGGGGTCCGGTTTTACCATGGGAGTGCAGTTTTATCATGGAAGTCCAGTTTTACCATGGAAGTCCATTTTTACCATGGGAGTCCGGTTTTACCATGGAAGTCCGGTTTTACCATGGAAGTCCGGTTTTACCATGGAAGTCCAGTTTTACCATGGAAGTGCAGTTTTACCATGGAAGTGCAGTTTTACCATAGAAGTCCAGTTTTACCATGGGAGTCCAGTTTTACCATGGAAGTCCAGTTTTACCATGGAAGTGCAGTTTTACCATAGAAGTCCAGTTTTACCATGGGAGTCCAGTTTTACCATGGGAGTCCAGTTTTACCATGGAAGTCCAGTTTTACCATGGAAGTGCAGTTTTACCATAGAAGTCCAGTTTTACCATAGAAGTCCAGTTTTACCATGGGAGTCCAGTTTTACCATGGAAGTCCAGTTTTACCATGGAAGTGCAGTTTTACCATGGAAGTGCAGTTTTACCATGGAAGTGCAGTTTTAACATGGGCAGGGATCGTGACGTGATTTATTAAGGACCACCGTCTCGTGTTCACCACACAGTGCGTTGGCGGCTCGTGAAATATGGAGCTCGAGGTTTTAGCCCCGGTGAGATACCTGCGAATCCCTTTCTCTTGTCATCAGTTGTGGTCAATCCACTGCTGGATGAAGGAACCCCGCCTCCCCCCCTCCTCTCCCAGCAGTGACGGGAGCAAGCTATTGCTGGGCTGCATGCTTTTTGAACATAAGCACTGGGAAGACAAAGACGGCCAGGTCCCGATGCTGGTCCACACCCTCGTCTTGTGCACTGTCCCGGCCTTAATAGGCGGGCACTGAAGTTGTGTAACTCGCCAGGCTGTGTGTGAACTAATTTTAATGCCCATGTAAGGCTCAACATTAGCAATGTCAACAATGTGCTTGAAAAAAAAATGTGCAGAATGGAAAATAATTATTTAAAATGTTCTGGTGTGTGTGTGCAAGTGTTCATTATTTTTATTTTATTCAGACAGGAATGCTGCGGTGAGTCGCGTGACCTTTTCAGGAGGGTCCTGCGCTACAACACATGACCAGTTCACTTATTTAATCTGTGCGAGGAATGCGGAATACCCACATACAAGTCCACACAGACGGGCACACAAGTCCACTGACCGGCACTCAATTCTCCTAGCCCTGTCAGCAGCACGACTGGGAGTAGAAAAAACAAAAAACTCTTGCGATCTATCAACCCTTGCCTCCGAGACACCGGGCCCAGCGTGGAAGAGCAAACTGAAAAAAAACACACCCTCTCCCACAGAGCCCCTCCAGAGCACACCCAGACGAGTTGGCGTGCGCGGGCACTCATCGTAACCCCCACACATCACCACCCCCAGACACGCTGAGACGAGGCCACCACGACGGGCACCGCGGGCGAGGGGGGGGAGACGCAGGTTGTGCCCACCACCACCGTCTAGCGGCGAGACCCTTACCGCCAGCAGTAGTTGCGCCCGAGCAATTTCGGGGCCCCCGCCCCTCTTGCGCCGCGCTGCGCGGTGACGCTGTGCCGACGCCTCCTCCGTGCCCGCCTCCGGCTGCAGGTGACCGCCTGGCAGCAAGTCGGCGCAGGCGAACATGAGCTCGGGCGACGTGGTGACGGCCATCGACGGGGTGAGCACGGCCGGGATGACGCACCTGGAGGCCCAGAACAAGATCAAGGCGAGCATCGGGAATCTGAAGCTCAGGCTTGCAGAGGTACGTGTCCCTCTGCTGCCCGCGGGGGGGGGGCTCTCCTGCAAGTCTGCCGACCCTGTGCGCGGTCGGTGGTTCGTCGTGATCGCGTCGGCCTGGTGGTAAACTCAACTACGAACAGTTTTTTATTTTACCTGGGTGAGGCCCACTGAGCTTGCAAAGCTCTTCTTCAGAAGCGAGCTGACTCTCGCAGACGATAGCCCAACGAAGTGGCTTACCATCGTGTTGAAATGTATATAACAGTGGGCAAATACTCTTAGACGTGGGTTTCAAAATGTGGAGGGAAAAAACTGGAGGGGGCCCGTGTAGAGCCGTACTGAGTCAGGGTCTTATGCCACATCACATCTCGTCGTGGTCGTCATCGTCGTCATCATCAGGGGCGAACCTCTCACGGCTAGGGGAATCTAACCAAAAGCCGTGGAGATTCATGGAGACGGTGAGTGTCCTCTTGAGGTGGATGTGGGATTGGATTGCGAGTCAGTGGAAAGATCTGAGTATTGGGACGACGGATGTGGTCTCATTGCGACACACTCGGGCAATACTCTCGTGAGCGTGTTTCTTATTCCTCGCCACTTGTGAAGGTATCCTCCTGGCTCTCAAGCCAAATTTCTACACGACATGTTGTTTTGTTGTTGTTGCAAGCAACTTCAGAGCGAGGCTTTAGCTGTGCCTAGGAAACGGCCTCGTGATCGGCTGCTCGCCACCCCGTGATCAGATTCGTCGCGGTTCCCAAGCAAACCACATTGTGCGTTGTTCTGTAATTGATTTACATAAATTATCGGCCTAATGAGCGTGCCCCCCTCGGCTGTCTTTGCGGCCTCTGTCTCGTCCGGCCTGACCATGTGTTTCCCATCCACGAGCCGAGTTTTGTTCAATTGCTGCGCTGCAAAGTAAATGATCTTCCGGACGCGTTGTTGTTGTTGTTGTTGGGGTCTCCAGCAGGAACCTTTTACGTCGGAAGTAGCGCACGCACATGCCGGCGCAACGTTCGGTCAACGTTGGGATGTGGTTGGTGGAACCGCTGGGCCAATGTCAGCCCAACGTCACACATTTCCTGTGGATTTAGAACGCGTGGATAATAGTTTTAGCGCATCGGCCTGTTGGCTTTCCAGACCAATATTATCAAGCAGCAGTTGGTTGAGCAGGCACACTCCGCCTTGGATTCGACCACAAGAGATGGTACAGCTTGACCCATCATCGTCACCACCCATCATCGCCATCATCGTCACCACCCATCATCGCCATCATCGCCATCATCGTCACCACCCATCATCGCCATCATCGCCATCATCGTCACCACCCATCATCGCCATCATCGCCATCATCGCCATCAATAATATCTAGTATTATTATCATCATCCTCATTTCAATAATGTTTCACCACGAACACCGCGCCATTTAATAAGTAAAGGTTGAGTCCGATCTAAGGGAGGTAGAGGAACGTTCACGTCATTTATGAATGGGTATGCAACCCAGCGATGAAGTGCACCAATCAATGCACCGCCGCTCCTGTGACACACACGCACAGATTTGTGTTCTGTTGGATCAGGTGCTGCTGCTGGTAACCTTTGTGTCTCGAGGAGAGGCCTAGGAGGTGATCAGATATCACCGTCCACTGGCGTTATCTACGGCCGTCAGTCCACCGCAGCTGAAATAAGTAATATTTAAAACAACTTCTTTTTAACACGCTTTTATGAAAAGTACTTGTCATGGCGGAACTCCACAACTCCAGGAAGTGGTCCCGAAGCTTGCCACAACGTAAGGGACCGTGGTGATTTACAGCCAACGTCAGTTGAGCGTGGACAATTAGAGCGAAGCCGAAACATAACATATAAAAAAGAATGTTTAAAATTTTTTTTTTTTAGTGTCATCAGTATGACATAAGTATACAAAGTTTGCAGTCGATACCACATTGGGAAGTGGGTTAAAATTGAGTTACAAGATTTGAGGATACAACAACAACGACAACAACAACAGAGTGGAGTTAAAAGCAAGCGTGTAATAAGACAAAGACCCCCCGTATAGCCTTCACAGACCGTTGGGGCAAGTGCTGTTCGCGAGGATCTATGAAGGCCAACGAGCCCCACGAAGGGGGTGTTGTGGCCATTGCCGCGTCCCGGCCGCCTTTGTATCCCCAGTGGCAATGTTTACAGAGTGCAACAGGTACTCATGTAAGCTGAGTCAACCTGGGACAAGCCCAAGACCTGTCCAATATTCACGACTCTAGATTAAAAACTCATTTCTTTAGAACTGCTTTTAGTGCTTAGTTTATTGTCTAAGTCCTTCCCCCGCACCTCCAATTAGCACGGTTGTCTACGTAGGGTGCTAAAGAAGTTCAACGTACAATACATGTTCAAATCGCAGTCCGCTCACTTTCACTGCGCAGAGCATGAAAGAACACTCGTGGATAAAAATGAAAACTTGGCAACGCTCATCGTCAACGTTCTTAAAAAAACGTAAGAAATGCCCACGAGGTGACGTTTCGGGCTACGGCCCTTGTTCATGGCACACGATGTGCCGGGTAGGGGCCGGGCAGTCGCCGCTTTGGCAGCGCTGCCGACGCCGTCTCTCCGGATAACTCGCGGAGCCCTTGGGGTGATGAAGTCATCACCGCGGCCGGCGTTCGTGAAAGTGCTCAAAAGAGGCTCGTGCTCATCTCCGCCAAATATAACCTGGGTCTGGCTTCTCTCGTGCTCTTGCGAGCAAGGGCCCAGCACCACCATGGCTCCATTTTGGGACCCCCACCACCACCCCACCCAAGTTACGACTGGACATATGTGAAAAAGAGCTTTATAGCTCTTTGGATTCCTCCGGTATAAATATACATTCTGATAAGTTCACTCTCTGAAAGTGGCAGATCACTGTAATGGTGCCCACCCCACCTCTTCCCCCACACACAAAATATTTACTTCCCGCCCCCCCGCCATCCGAGAGGAGCTGGAGCCGTGCGTGAAAGTCAGGGCGGCGTTTTCCCCGTTACCCTGGGCAGGTGTGGGCTCTCTTCGAATTCTGACCACGCGTGCCAACGTCGATCCGACTGGCGTTGTAGTTTGTTCTGAACGCGGGATAGAGTGCGCACGCTGCTGCCTGCGTCAACGGTTACCTGCTGGAGACCCCAACAACAACAACGACGACGACAACGCCAACAGTGCAGCAACTTGAGGCTGCGGTGGCTTCGTACGTTCCGTTCGGCTCCAGACCTTCCGGCCGTTTTTAACTCGAGCAGGCGCTGCGACTCCGACTTTTACCGAGAGCCATGAATATTGTCCCCGCTTTCCCGTCACGGGATGTTCTGCCGTGCCGTGCGTGTTCATCTCTCTCGAGTGATTTTGTGGCTCGGTTTCAAGTCTTGATGGGCGCGGGGGTACGATGCTTTGCGCAATGTGCTGCTATGAAGCTGGCGGTGATCTGAGCTTTATTTTTGGTTTCGAATTTTTACCAGCGGTGGAGTGGTATCTGAACCGGTCCTGTGGTTCTCCTCTTGACCGTCTCACACTGGCCAGCGTGGTGAAGTATGGTCAAACAACTCCCTCAAACCGTCACCCGGCCACCCCCCCCCACCACTCCTCCATGACCAGCAGTGTCGTTGTGATGGCTTACCATGGCATGGCGCAAAAGAAGCTGTAATTATTATTGTCTGTAGGCCTTCATCCAGCAGTGGATTGAGAAAAGCAGGTGCTTTATGAACGGGAGATGGCAACGATACATCATTTACGGGGAAGTTGTTTTAACGGAAACTCGTTTTTTCAGCAACGCGTGTACAGCTGGCGCATTCAAAGAGGACCCGCCGTCTAGGGCCCGGCCACATTGTCGTGAACGCACCGTCTAGGACGTTATCATTGAAGTCTTCTCTTCGTGATTGTGCCCGCCTACACCGCCTGCATCGAATTCCCATCCGGAAGCCAAAGCCTCCGCAGCTCATCCCACCGTCGGCTTGCGCCGCTTAAACGTTGAAATATGCAGCGGACGATTTTCATATTTCGTGTGCCCTCGCCGGTTTTCAAGCTCCCCTTGCTCCAGCAGTCGAGCATCGGATTCTTGTCTCGGTGTCCCACGTTTGCGAGCACAGATGGATCATGTGTGGGGTTAAAGTAAAAAAACACTCACAAGCCACGTGGGGAGTTTTTTTTTACCCTTTCATAAAATGTGCTTCGTTTTTGTGGGTATTTTTTGTTTATTAGCGATTGCGACATCGCGTTTCGAGAGGCACGACGGCTTGGCAGTTGGTAGCGACGTCGCAAGGTGACGTCACAAGGGGGGGGGGCGTGGGTGGGTGGACCTGGGGGATGGGGGGGGGACTGGGGGGGGGGGCTGCACGATCATCTTGGCCAGAGTTTGGCAAATCCATTTAGCGAAGTTTTTATTTTTAACTGCCAATTAAAAAAAAATTCAATGTATCCGTTTCTTCTCGAGGGTACAAGCCCCCGAATAGATGGCAATGCAAAACTTTAAACGAAAATTTCATTCGTGTTGAATCATCTTTGCGAGAGTTATTATCTGGACCCTACGGAGCCCGATGCGTTAACGCTTTTTTGGCCTAATTAGAGAGCGTTCATCGGCTCTACACGTGGGAAACAATAAGGGGCCATCCATTTTGTACGTACGCATGGAGGGGAGAGGGGGGGGGTTAATCCAAATGTGTTCGCTTGCGAATGGGGGGGTCTACTGACAATGTACGCATAGGAAACGGTGGGGGGTGTGTGAAGCCTCGATAATAATTTGTCTACATTGGCCTTCAAATGAGTTAGATAGTCCGGTGGGTGGGGTGGTGGGTGGTGGGTAGTGGGGTGGTGGGGTGGTGGGTGGGGGGACTGGTCACATCCCTAGGCCCTCACCTCCACGACGCGTTCTGCCAACCGAGCACGGCTCCGCTCAACATCTGAACGGCGCTTCTTTCCGGAGTTATTTTTTTACTGCTGGATCAGCCGTCGCTGTTTTTCCCGTTTCCAAGGATGACGCTGGCGTCTGTTAATAGCGCGGCCGCAAAACCTGCAGACAGAGACGGAGGGGCGGGGGGGGGATTTATTCGAGGATTTTGGAACGGGGGAAAGCTGTTGCCGGCCACGGTGTTGTGGTTAGCGTGCCGGACGTTGATTTCCCGGTACGGCAAATTGAAGCAACGGTGCAGAGGTTTCTTTAACGCCTTTTCCCATTCCGATGACGTACGTACGTGTACATCATCGGAACGAGACCGCAAGACAAACTAAAATAAAGTAACTTTGTCGGTACCGAGGCTCCCGTAAGGCCATGCGGGAGGGCGTGTGCCACGGAGCTATGTAACTCTTTTTCAGAAGCAACCCGGCATGTATACCAGGCGAGGTAGTCAACATCTTCGCCACCCTGACACCCTCTGGAGGGTGTGGTGGGGGGCCTGGAGTTACCCTCTAGCAGTGGCATGGGCAAGCAGTTACAGGGGCTGGACCTTGATCACGTTGGCATCGATCACGTTGGCATCGAACGGGAAGCAATTGGCAGGATTTAGGACACAGGCTCGCAAGGTTTTGGGAGGCAATGGGGGGGCCACACGTGGGCTTGTGTCTACAGGGGCAAGGAAGCGTTGCACCCTCTGAATAAAGAGCCACGCACGTGTCTGAGAATAGAAATGCGGGGGTGGGGGATGAGGTATTTGAGGTCATTATGTTACAGAGCTGTTCCGCTGGATATTCCACTCCAAACTTGTAGCGCAAACATTGGCACTTGGAATAGCCCCCCCCCCCCCCCCTTCGGCAGAGCAGCCACAGTGAGCAGAGTAATCTGGGGCTCGCTGTGCTCTGACGTGGTAGCGGGTGTTTACGCGCTCGGGGGTTAGGGGGCCGGTGAATCGAGGCTGGGGTCACGTGGAGAAGACTACATCGGCTGTGCGCTTCGCCTTCCGTTTGTCGTGAACGGAGAATTGTATTGAAATAAATGTGAACGCGCATGTCAGCAAAAGCAAACGACGACGGCTCGCCAACTCGAATTTGGCAACTGTGGAAAGTTTTCAATGACGAGCGGGAAAGTCTTTCAATCGTTGCGCGTTACTCGTTTACGAAGCGCGGAAGCTCGCAAATAAAACAGGGAATACATTTTTTGCAAAGTGCGAAAACAAGCGCTTGAAGAGGGCGCCCACCCGGTGTACCGGTGGTACGAGCTACACGGCGCGATGTACTGGTGGTGCGGGCCACACGGAGCGATGTACCGGTGGTACGAGCCACACGGCAATCTTGGCCATTCAGGAAAGTGGGCTCATTCCAGGCACATCCTGGCTGGAGGAGCTGTCTGCTTTTTTGTTATTTTTTGCTGAGCACAGGACCATCGGATCCTGCAAACGCCGAGCAGCCAACAACACGCAGCATTACAAAAGCTGTGTGAGATAACAGTCGATGCCTTTTTTGAATTAAGTACGTTTCAGAAGAATTTGGGATAAGAGATGGGAGAGAATTAGAGATTGTGGAACAGTGCGAGGGACTAAGCAGAGAGAGAAGTCAGGTGACCTGCAGTGTGGCGAGCGGGTGGGTGGGTGAGTGGCTGAGAGAGTTTAGTGCTTTCGTGAGTGGTTGAGTGTGTTGGCGTGGTCTGACTGGTGTGGAGGTGGTTGAACGCAGTGTGGGATGAGACACAGACTCAGAATATTTTACTTATACTGGAGAAACCCTATGCGCGATGATGCTTCTTTGTTTCCCCCACAAGATGTGGCCACTAGTTTTCACAGATGTCCAGTGAGTCCGGTGGACCGACTCCTCAACATTCCTGGAGGAGAGAATCGGTGAGTTAAAGGTGACCGGGTGTGGCCAGGCAGCGAGCGTGGAGAGGAGCAGAGCTTCCCCGCGTGCTCCCCTTGCCTTGTAGCTCGTCAGGAATGTCTGGCCCGGGGCCCAAGCTCGCTCGGTGCCGGCCACGGTGAAATGCGGCATGTCGACGTGTCGTGGTGGCTGCCAGATCGGCTGGATTTCTCCGGGGCTGCAGCTGTGGTTGTGTGTGTTGTTGTAGCTGTGGTTGCGCGTGATTGCGCGTGGTTGTGAATGGTGGTGTGTAGTGCGTGGTTGTGTAGTTTTATGGTTGTAAGTGGTTGCACGTGATTGTGAATGGTTGGGTGTAGTGTGTGGTTGTGCAGTTGTGTTTATGGCTATGATTGCACGTGGCTGTACATAGTTGCGTCTGGTTGTGGTTATGCTTGCGTGTGATTGAAAATTATCGTATGTAGTGTGTGGTTGTGTAGTTGTGGCTGCGCGTGGTTTTGTGTGGTTGTTCTCCTATGCGTCATAGGAGAACAAACTGGACAGGCCTCACTTATTCATCGCAGGACTAACCATCATCGCTATCATCATTGCCATCATCATCATCGCCATCATCATCACCATCATCATCGCCATCGTCATCATCATCGCCATCGTCATCATCATCGCCATCATCATCATCATCGCCATCATCATCGTCATCATCATCGCCATCATCATCATCATCGCCGCCATCATCATCGCCATCATTGCCATCATCATCATCATCATCATCGCCATCATCATCATCATCATCGCCATCATCATCATCGCCATCATCATCATCATCATCATCATCGCCATCATCATCATCATCGCCATCATCATCATCGCCATCATCATCATCGCCATCATCATCGTCATCGCCATCGTCATCATCATCGCCGTCATCGCCATCATCATCATCGCCATCATCATCATCATCGCCATCGTCATCATCATCGCCATCATCGTCATTGCCATCATCATCATCGCCATCATCATCGCCATCATCGTCATCATCATCGCCATCATCGTCATCATCATTGCCATCATCATCATCATCGCCATCATCATCATAATCGCCATCATCATCATAATCGCCATCATCATCATCATTATCGCCATCATCATCGCCATCATCATCATCATCGCCATCATCATCATCGTCGTTGTGACATCATCATCCCTTAGCTGTCTGGCTCCAACGGTACGGAACAGCTTCACCGTAAACATCAGGGTGTTGAGATCAATACGTGCGTTTATTCGTCATAAACGC